TCCGAGCTAGATGAAAACACACAAAAAGCTGAGCTATCAAGAGATACAAACTAATATGCTGGGGACATGAAGCAGTGTGGGGAAGACACCTTTCTGTCAGCCTGCTGCTCAGCCAGGAGCCCACCACAAGATGACAGATCCAGGCCAGACAGAGATCTAAAGCCACATTATCTGACTGGATGCAAACGATGCCAGTAGAGAGAAGGGGACATTTCTTCTCATCACCTTAGTACTTTGCAAAGTAGTATTCAACATGGAGAAACAGGCATTGAAACATTTTGCCTGGGGCAGAGATACCATGTCAGGTGCTGAAGTGGCTTGAGTCTTCACTGTGGGTTGTACAGATATTTCCACCTCTTGCTTTCAGATTCTCATGGACATTTGTCTTTCCGGGTCCTTTTCAAACTCCACAGGACAGTATTGAGACACGAGCAACACAAGCATCAGGAACAACTAGTTTCGCTCCTCTTCCATGACGTATCTTTGATTATTCTGTACTACTCAAATCAGTCCATTCTCAAATGAAGAAAAAGTAACTGCCACTGAAACTCAGTTAGGGCAGATGTGCCAGAGGAAGGTATTTTGGAAACCTTGCACCTGTGTGCAGGTCCCTTGGATATATCACACTCTCATATACACCACACATTCATCTTTGGCCAGACAGTAGAAGACTGGATTTCTTATCACTGCCAGCTTCTGTCCACAAGTAGCAATTCTTGTTGCTCCCCTTTATTCATACCTTCTTCCATGGTGGCTGCATGACAGCAGTAGGGCTGTCTCCTACTCAGCATGGAGCACTCTGGATGATCCAACAAACCCATGATGTCCCTATGTCTACCTGCAACCCAGGCCATCTATCAAACCTACACACTAGCAAGCAACTCGGATTCCCACCGACTCTCCAGTAAAGGGTTGTGTCTTCATCCCAGTCTTCAAAGCTCTCCCTGTGAAGTCCCACGATGAAAGGGCAAGGGGGTGCCCAGAGTCTCTACAATAAGGCTGGCGGTCAAATCCGATCATCAGATACCTTCAGCTCAAAAAAATAAGGACATGTGTCTCCTCACTTCTGAAAATAAACCTTTTCTAGGTTTTGTTTCTCTGAAAGAAATATATAGTGGCAAGTAATTAATAGCAATATGCCTATTAAAAATAAGTGAAGTGATTAAAAAAAAAAAAAAACCCTAACCAGAACTCTCAATTGCACATGCTTCTTCCCACGGGGGAAGGATGAGAGAAGAAAGCTCACAACAGATGTTAATCTTAGTGCTTAATACATTAGTGGAAGGAGCTCCAAATACGGTGTACGGTCTAAATAAGTGCGGTCTAAAAGTCTATGCAGAACAAAACTGATTAACAACTATATTTATTAAAGGCTACATTTTCAGCCAGGCATCCACAAACCTGTATTTGGAAAAGCAATTTGTTTCGCTGTTTTCTGCACACCTACGGTCAGTGAATATTAAACAGAGCTGCAACCCCCCGAGCTGGGTTGTACACCATGCTGATCAAGTTACCCGGCATTAGACTGCGCCTCTCCCGCACCAACATGCCCGTGCACACCCTGCAAGCGCGGAGGTGAACATGCCAGAAAGGGACACGCAGCCCCTCGGGGGATGAGAGTCCTTTCCTCCTCTGATGCTCTCATAATGACTTTACTCAATTTGATTACTCTGTACTCAACTAAGAAAGCAGTCCTGTCTCTCCATGGCACAGCGTGGCTTAACTTTTTATATAAACATGCATGTCTGCTGGCTTCTTTTCCCGTTTCAGTAAAAGCTGACTTGCATTTAATAATATGGTTCACACTTTCTAATGTCTACGTACAATCTTCACACATTACACTTAAAAAAAGCACTTTTTTTTTTCAGACTTAAGAGTGCAAACAGAGGGAACCAATCTGGTAAAATATTTCTCCTATGGCACACAGTGGCGTCGTACAATTTGCGTTCTGACTACAGCAGTCCTCCTTCTCTCCAGAAATCTTCCAGGAGTGCTGTCACTGGGGAGGCTGGCATAGTGGCTGGCTTTGGGACACATGGAAAGAGCAGCATTGGCACTGGTGGAACTGTGTTAATGAAAACTAGGGGAGGATATTTTATCCATGGGAATGTGTGTTGAAGTTTTGGAAGCATCAAGGGGCCGCTGTTTCTGGTTGGGCTCACACTGTGCCCAGCGACAAATAAACAGGTAGTAACAAAACAGTCCCTGTCCCAAAGCAGGCTACAGTTAGTGAGTCAATCCAGAGCCTGCTGAATTACGCACATTAAAACCACCATGGAAGATAAAAACAAGGAGCACTTGACAGAAGAACTGACTACAGCCCATGTCATTTAAAGCACTTGTGGGTATCTGTTTCTTTCCACTACTACCTGCTCGACAGGCCCACCACAGGCTGCTGCTTTAGAGCTCCCTGCTCTAAAGCAATCTGAAGCCCTGCCTTCAACCAAGACACGAAAAACAGGGCAGGGAAACAGCATTAAAATCTGATTTAGCTGCTGTTCAAATTATCACGGGCTCTCCATTCATTTGAGCAGAAACTGGATTGGACCCAAATGATCATCAATAAAATGGCAGGTTTATTTTAACTTCTTTACTGTTTCTTTTGTTATGCCTGTCGGAGGAACCAAAACCAAGATCATTTTTCCACATGTTTTCAGGTAGCCTCAGCACAGCTTTAATCTTTATGTAAACAAGTGTACAATAAGCACACTGCTGAATATCATTAAGAATTTAGAATTCCAACCTGACTTAAGCCTCCCCCTCAATGTTTGATGGGTGCTACAAAGCTCAGGAACAGCTCAAGAACATGCATCATCCAAGCACTCGAGAGGAAGACCTCCAAGATTTCCTGTTTGGAATGGAGAATGAGAAGGAAAAGGCGCTTGGAATTGAAACCCTAAACATCATAACAAACATTACTTACTTGATGAAAAACAAAAGCAAAACCCAAACTTCATACTCTGGGGCAAAAAAAAAGTTCTGCCAGAGAGGCTTGTTTTGGCAGTAATGAATGCCCAAGGAAATACTGTTTGTATTGTGTAATGAACTTGTAATTAATGTTTGTTTGCTCTCCATTTAATAGCAACTCTGCACTCAGTGATGGAATTTTGCTGCCATTTGTGAATGCGCAGACTTTGAATCTTCATTCCCCATATGGAAGGGCTCCCAGGGGGTCGCATCATAAACCCATTCAAATGAACAAAACAAACGACAAGGATCTGTACAATTGTGGAAAATGAGAAAGCTGCATGTATTATTTTAAACAGATACTGTAAGAGTTACTGTTCGCTTATGTGTTTTTTTCCTGCTTGGCTGCATAGACAGAAATCAAAAGAGTCTGTCTAGGTGAAAAGTGAAAACATGAGAATAATAAAGCTCTTTCAGATGGAGGAGCTAAAAGGAGCTCCTTACTCCTCTTTGAATTTGGTGTCACTCAGAAGAAGGGAAGCACCTCTGATAATGTGATCTTAGGTAAAGCTACCCACTTCATTTTTAGTTTTGACAGTAATGAGTCTGTTATGTGGTTATCTTCCATGCTCTCTATATGAAATAGGAAACTTAGTGAAATGCAGCTCAGGACTGCTGAGAAAGGTGGTTATTTCATTAGTATTAAATATCATTGCAGAAAGCAGTCTGCAAATGAAGGCTTTGCTAGGAAACAAGTGAAACAAAATGGAACATAAACAAAAACATCACCATGAGCTAAACAGAAAGACAGAAAGATGATGTTCTTTTCAAACAGTTCAGGAAATCAGCCCCCTCCACTCCTTTCACTTCTTCAGAACGGAATCTAACATGCAATGAAAAGTCTCTACTCTAAGGACAGAACATTGAGGCCCCTCTCAGTGCAGCTCTTGCGATGCGTCGTTGCTGAAACAACTGAAGTCCTTCTTATAGGTCTTTCAGGTGCTCTTGAACCTCATCTATTTTCAGGAACAAGCTGCTCCCCTTTGACACCCCAAAATGGTAAAAATGACTCTGTCATTATGCCGTAAGAACAACTGAAAGCAAAGTCTTGAACTTGATAACCTATTACTTTCCTTTATGTTCACACCTTCATTTTTCACAAAATGAACAACTAAAGAGGAATTTAGGAGCTTGATCTTGGAAATGCACTTTTCTTCATGCAGATTTAACTCACAGACCTGCTTCTAGATTCTGCCACTAAAGAAATATTAGGAAAAATGTAAAGGAAGCATAGGAAAATCCAGCATTGACTTTAATGCTAGAAAATTGTTCACTTATAAGAAATAGTTTTTTAATAGCCACACAGGAAGAAATACATTCACACTTCATAATTGTGAGCCCAAGTTTCAGAAGAAAACCATAGACTACTAAAACCTACTACAAAAAAGAAGTGTGGAAAAGGACATCTAAAAAATTGGGGAAAGAGGGTAGAAATGGAAAACAAAGTCTATTGATAGAGAACTTTAGCCTGATATTCAAAAAAAAAAGGGAGTGTGGGAGAGAAAAATTGGTGAGTGTAAATCTCCTTAAAGTTCTATTTCTGCTCGGCAAAGATAATTTTGTATCAGTCTGGCATCATTTCAGACCACACCAATTGGTTGAACCAGAATTTTATACTGGGATAGATGTAGAAAGAGCACCTAAGTTGGAAAGAGAATGTGCGAGTCTAAATCTTGACCAGAAAAGTTGATACTTACATCTTAAATCACAGAACTGCAGAATCATATCAGTGATTTGTGATGCATTTCATAAAAAGTACATATTTACACTTTATTTTCTTCTTTCACAATGAACACCCAGGGGCTTTGATGTCTTTTCATTGTATGCTCCCCAAAAAAAGTGATTTTTCTTTTTTTTTGTAACTGTGCTGTTCAACTTCCATTGAAGGTGGCCTGCATGTAATATACAGCATCCAGTAATCCAGGATTTACTCAGCCAAATAAGTGTACTGAACTATACAGGCGTTGGCAGCAGACAGGAAGAGAGCAAAACACACACAGAGGACAAAAGAAAGATTGAAACTTCATTTGTACCTGAGGTAGCACTGCTGGTCCTTGTCCTGCCAACCTCTGCAAGGAGCTGACCTGAGGAACTTTAAGGGGCACTGCAGTGATAGTTCCCAAAGTCTGTTGGAAGAAAAGAGTTGAACAACATTTGAAACACTTGCAAAGCCACCCCAGACAGACTCTGCCCTACCCAGCATTTCCCTTTCAGCCATTTTATTTTGCCTCTTCTCCCACCTTATTTTGCCTCTTGCCCTTCTCATAACAGAAGAGAGCCCATTTAAAGCTCTCTCGCCCCATCTTAACAGCAAGAAAAGTCCTCGTTATGGACCTCCCCTTCAAAGCGCCGTTTAAAAAGAAGTCTCTGGTCTCCTTAAAGCATTTTGTGAGTCTGAGTGGACATGTCTCATCACTGCTTCGTCTTTCTGGCACACATGGGAGATCCATGTGTGCTGCCATGGCTCCAAGTTGTATAGGGCCTAGCTTGTTTCCAGGTGCAATGTGCCTGCAAGACGTCACAGCAAAACTTCACAACCTGCACTGCCAGAATGATACATGTCATGGTAGCCAGGGTCCTGAGAAACGTTCACTGTGTCTTAGTGGAGAGGAAATACTGAATTACTGAAACTGGAAACTACTTTTCTGTCTGCTATAGCACACCACAGAACTGGGTTAAGATTGCATCCATGTGCTCCAGCAGAGCAACTATTATGATTCGAGTTTATTTTCCCTACTCACCCTTGGTTGAATAATAATTTTATTTGAATCTTATCTAAGCGATTAGTTCCTTCTATTAACAAAAACTGGGCTGCAGGAAACTACATGAAGTTTCCTTGCTAGACAGAGAAGTGATACTTTTAACCGAGTATTATCTCTGTGCCACGCGAATGAGGTTGGATACAGAATGGTGAGCGAAACATGTCTTTGTGATACAGAATCACATACACACGGGTGCTTTTCCCCCTAAAACTATCTAGGCAATACCAATCCTATGCTCATTTCTCATGTATCTATAGGGATTTAAAAAAAAAAAAAAAAGAAAAAATCCTCTTAAAGCTTCACCCATAGACACTTTGTTATAATATTGGATAATCCTGGATGGGAGAGGTTGTAAATAACTGGTCCTTATCTCTTACATGAAAAGGAGCTTGTATCTCACACAGTTACGATGGGCTCCTGGATCTGCAAGACATGGCTAACGCTTCCCCTTCGCCCTCCTTCATGCACTCATCCTCCCACAGAGAGTTCATGTGTTGGTTACCCGGCCAGTTCCCTGAAAACAGGTTTTGTAATTTTAATCTGAGCTTCTTTAATTACATTGGGAAGACAGAGAGAGATAAGCAAGCGGACACTTGTCCCTGTAAGGGCAAGTGTCCCTTGGTCTCTGGCCCAGGAAGCTTCCCGGGTGGACAGAAATGGCTGTTAGGGAAAGATGAACTAGTTCAATTGGGTTTCTCCATATCATGTAAATATAATGTAACCAGAGTTCAAACAAAGAGAAATTCTTTCAGATTGTGCTGCTGCAGCCTTCTCAGACTGCAACAATAGAGTAATAAGACAATCTGCCCCATTTTAACTACAGTGTTTGCTAAGAATCCTATGCATCTCTGAGCAGAGCATCTCCAATAATCTTGTCCTAAAGAGCCGACCTTTTCCACCTCACCACTCCTCCTGGAGACCTTGGTGTTTGTGATGTATCCAGAAAAGGCTGAAATGTGTGTAAGAGTTGGCTGAGTTAACCAAAAAGGGGACCTCTGCGGTTATAAACACAACGATCATTTTCCCAAAGTACTTATGGATTATCAGCACCCCAGGTCATCCCATGAACACACACTCCACTCTAACAGTCTTGAGCAGCAGCAGGACAAAAGGGCAATGCCACCCACGGAGGCCAAGGCGGGATAAAAGAAGGGCAAAGGACCCTATAAACCATCCAGATGAATGACTTGGTTGCTCCTCTGCCACATCACTGACTTGGAATTTGGGATGGAGAAGGTGATGAATTCCCGCAGGGTCTGGAAAGGAGGAGGGCTTCTACTCCTACAAATCGTCAAACATGTCACAGCTTCCTGTTTTATACCGGCTCCAATTACTTAAGTCCAGTTATTTTGCTGTTAAGGTGAAGACCAGAACCAACGTCCAAACCCACACTGGGTGAGCTGAAAATTTGTCACTCAATATGATGCATGTTTTCTCACCATCCCCCACTCTTTCAAAAGAGAAGGAGATTTCACTTGTACTGCAAAGTGCCCAAGTCTTCCCTAGAAACATCAGGGACCTCCCACCTTCTCCGGGGCTGCAGATGCACCCTCCACAGCAAGTTAAAACAAGGTCTTCCTTCCAGAGGGATGTGCTTGAAAAGTGGCTGCATCTCTCATCACTTTTATATAGACCTTGAAAACAGACATTCGGATATTCTTATCCCTACAGGTATGCCAGGATTTGCAGGGATTTTTCAGTCTGGCCAACAGAATAACCACATATTAAAATCCAAAGCGCTGACACTGAATGGATTGGGAATTGACTATAAAGATAAGAATCAAATTATTCGCAAGTTAGATAAGGGAGGGTTATCAATTGGTAGGACGCACACAGCTCCCCACGTCTGAGTAATAAATCTCTTTCCTTGTACTGCTACACATATCAATCACAAGCAACAAAATAAATCTGTCAAGAAGAGAAAGCTCCTCTCCTGCGCGAAGGGAGATCAGCTCAGCCCATGCATGTGCGATTGTGCCAACCCTACTATGTTTGAAAGCACGGAAGGACTGAGCCAACAGGAATGCGAGGGGGAGAAGAAACAAGAAATCCCATAAACCTGGGCTGTTCTCGTCGCTTCACTCAAAAACAAAGCTGGAATGTAGAGTCTAAGGAAACCTGGGAAGGGAACTATCGTTGGTTCTGTCACCCGTGTTCCCCCCAAACTCCTTTGGATTTCTCTTCCCGATGCGGGAGCACTGCAGCTGTCTCGAGAGACCGAAAGCGAATTACGGCCTTCGCATGTTATGAAATTTGCAGTGACAAAGATGTGGCCTACTGTTCACAAAGCTTTCTGAGGCAAGAGATGTGTTATTTAACAGTCAAAGAAACAATGTCAGGGTAAAAATCGCACGGTCAAGGGAAAATCCAAAATATGAAGCTCATATGACTAAGAACGCTCTAATACGTCGCAACAGAAATATACTTGAGAATCTATTTTATTTTTCACTATTTACATTGCTTCATTATTTTCTCCGCTTGGACAGAAAACTCGGTACCCTTCCTGCAATACACTTGACGTTTTAGCTCAGGGTGCCTCCCCGAGGCCGGTGTTACCGTCTCCAGCTTAGCGATGAAAAACAGGGAGGTCCAGAGGTGAAGCAACGTCGCCGGAGTCCGACGGTTACCCAAGGGGTCACCCACACAACTGATTAACTCAGCTCATCTGCTGAGGCAGAGTCACACCCAAGTAGCCAAATTTTGAGATCCAGTTTTAACTATCAGACCAGGAGGTCTCCATGATGACTGGCCTGCTGGATCAAATATGTGTCACTCACGAATTCCAGCCTGTCCTTCCCATCCACGTGGGGCTTTTTCTTTGCTCCTTCCTTTTTCTGCCCGACGTGTCCAAAGAGCAAGCTGGTGCACATTCTTATAAACCTTTAATTAACAAGCTGAAAAGACATTTTTCTGGCAATGCCTGACCTTTAAGCACTTTGTATGAATTTATCGATACCAGCAGAAACAATAATTTAAAAGGTTATTTTACGAGCGCCGAATAGTTTATGGCAGCACTTTTGTCAAGATAAATGAGTTTCTTATTACTACATTTACAGCTCTAAGCATTTTAATAAAAAAGGTCCATAAAAGTCAAAGATAACTTCAAATCTCTCCTCTCTTTAAGTCTACGTGGGCTGTTCTAGTGTCTCCCACAATGTGCACGAAGTACGGCAGGGAGGGAGCAGGGCAATTCAAGGGATGAAGGCTGGAGATGCTGAGAGGATCACAGGCTGCTGCAGCAGAAACAGGGCCCAGGTTTAGTGCCGACAGCCAGACCAAGGGCCATACAAGGGGCTTCCTATTGCCCCTTGTCTTACAACATTTTAGTCAATGCCTGAGTTTGTAAATTCACGACTTAGCCCCATCTGTGAGTTTAGTAAACTTTGGCATTTCAGGCAAAGTTCTTTACATTTTAAGGCCTGAGACTGATAAAATCACTGCAATCCAGTGCTGAGGAAAATCAGGTGCAACGGGCGAGTAGCAAAAGGTTAAATAGCTGCACAGTTTCCCACGCCTGCCTTCCACTACAGCGTGCCACCAAAACAAATGCTTAACTCAGGAACACATGGACTTGTTCCATCTTCGAACAGTTCAATTATGCGAGCTCAACTGCCACTGCATTCTTATTTTGTTTGCAAACTGTTGTATACTGACATCAATACTGCAGCAGAAACGTTATGTTCGTGCAATGTATTATACAACTGCTAATCTCTCTTATTTTTTTTTTTTAAGTACATACGCAGCTCTCCAAGATCTAGGTCTTCTTATTGCAAATAAGACACCTTGGCTATTAAAAAAATGTTTTTGTCTGTTATGTGTTCAATACTGGCAACAACAGTTTTACAGAATGGATTTTTAATGTGGTGGTGACAGGGGAACAGATTGCTATGGCAACAGCAAAGATGAAAATTCTTAACCTGAATGGATCGTCACTGAAGTAATTGCGGGGTTTTTTTTACCCATTCTACATCCATTTTACAACTTGAATGCTGCATTCAACCTTGAGCTCGCTTTATATATATAAACTCCGAGCCCTAAATGCAACCTCCAAGTTCATTTGACTTCAGACTTACTGCACTTTGCCTCCCTAAGCCGAGATGGTTGCTGTGCTCTAGCTTCCATAAACACAAGTGCTATTATGTTTCCATACATTCCATCTGTAAAGAAAACAATGTACACTTCAATGTAACTAGAGGCTCCCACAACACATACGTACATACACATTTTTTCTCGCCTTTTAAGTGTTATTCCTACAAAAAATCCATGGACATCATTCCGAATCTTGTAACGAATGATGAAATTGCTGTACATGGCACTTCCAAAAATCTGGGGGAATGGTTGGTCTGATTTCTGTTTCGTGCTGA